ATAATGACAAAAAATTAATGCAAAAACTATTTGATTTAAAGCAATACATAATAATATTATATTGCTTTTTAACAATTATGTAATTTTTTCTAAGAATTCCAAACATGATTAAAAATGGGTTACATATAAAGTATTAGCGAAATGTTTGGTTATTTTTAGAGCAAATTGGGATTTAACTACTTATGAGCTTAAAGTTTTTGGTCAACTAATTGAAGTATATTTATAAAAGGTTGCCTGGAGCTTTTACTAAATATTGCTATTTACAGACATAATGGGTAAATCGGTTAAAATCAATCGGAACATTTTGATTATGTATTTATAAAACTTTATATAATAAGTTGTTTATGTTTATAAAATGTTTAGCTTTACAGTTATATAATAATACAATGAGACCAAAAACAATGAAAGTTGATTTTATTTTATAGCTTATTGCTATACTTTAAACTGTATTATTACGGTCTGTCGCACAACATTCTGAGCTCAAAAGTATCATTAAAACGGCAGAAATTCATCCAAAATATATCATTCAAAATGCTTTCAAAACATTTAATAAATTTATCATTTCATTAGAAGTTCTGATTTTGTTTTTATAAATTCATATTTAATTTAAATTCACTAAGAATTCAAGTCTTGAATTGAAAATTAAATTTAAATTCAAAGAATTTTATTATGAAATATGACATAAATTTAATATAAATTTTTTTATTTAAATATTTTTACTAAAACTCGTTAAGCCTTAGAATTATGCATTATAATTGTATAATTGATTTATTGCATACATATTCCATCATGCTATCATTTCCTACGTTACAAAGTATTTAAATTTTCAAATTTAATCCTCAAAATTAAACCCTAAATTACAAAAACAAGAGACAGAATATTCTTGTTTTTATAGAGTAGAGTTGGTGTGTGTTTTTGCTGTCGGTTTGTTGTAGTTTTATATGTTTGCTGTGAGAGCACCTGTACTCCAATCAATTGGTTTATATACCTATGATTTAATGATGAGCTCTGCTATGAATTTAACGACCTTTGAGTGCATTGTTATACAATACACTTGCGATCATTTCATTTGATTTCTGTGAGAGCACCTGTACTCCAATCAATTGGTTTATATACCTATGATTTAATGATGAGCTCTGCTATGAATTTAACGACCTTTGAGTGCATTGTTATACAATACACTTGCGATCATTTCATTACTAATGTTTAAGTAACAAACAAACATATGTGTTATGTTCCCTACTTTGCCAAAGATTAAATCGTGATTAAATAACAAGAATTTTCAGTAAATTAATAGATTTTCAGAAATATTTTACCTGAATAGATTGGGTTTTCAATTGCAACTCATGACTCAATTATAAGCAACTTTTCCGACAAATTATATCTAAAATGTCTATAAATTAACTTACATTTCAAATCTATTGTTTAAGCCGATTCCTGTAAATTGAAATAAATTATAGAAAATTCAAAGTTTCTCATTATATTTAAAGTCAAAATATATTTTATTTTCTCTAATTTATTATTAATGACAAACCATATGAATATAAGAGGATTTATTAGTAATATATTTGTTTTTGTATTGAAGTGCGAGTGAAGAACAATAGGCCGAGTGCTAGAAGACTAGCGAGTGGTGGGTCCGCCTGTAGTGACACTCAATCTTTCTCTGACAGCGGAAAGTCAGACAACAGCGGAGGCAATGGTTCGGACACTAAGTTTGCATCCGATTCAATATCTAACGGTCTGTTGTTTAGAGAGAGAGAGACTAAAATGGTATTTGAGTTTTAATTTTATGTATCATTCGGTTTAATCAACAAACTATTTAACACATGAAATATTTCGTGTAATTCCTAGTTATTTAATAGTAAAATAAATTACCTGGTTATAAATATGCATGGTAATAAATACTATAAGCTATTTATAGAAATATATTTAATTTTTTTAACTTGAATATTTAATTAAAGTACGATTTATGGTACATGAACTAAGGGTACTTGATAATATCTAGAAATTATATTGATGTAAATAAAGCAATTAAAACATTTATAATTGTGTTATTATTTTTTAAAATTGTGAAACTTTTTATTATCAAAAATATTGCTTAAAATGTGACTATTTTTTAGTCACTAAAATTTAGTGCAAAATTTGTGTCATTGATATATCATTTAAATTATGTTAATGTAACTTTGTTTAATGTATTGATAGTGCCATTAGTGTACCCCTTGTTATAATATAGTTGACTACATATATAAATATGTTATTTGTTCACTAAATCGGGTTTTAATTATACACATAGTCTTCAATAAAAGAGATGACAATATAATTATGTTTTTCATTGAAATATAAAAACTATATTAAAATTGTTTTGATTTTGTTTTCATTCATTCAATCATATAATGTATCGAAAGTCAAGTTTGAGTTAATTATTGGGTTTGTATTTTTTATTCAAGTCACAAAAACACCCTGTATTTAGTCATTTGATTTGAAAAATTCCATACAATTAACATTGGTAAATATAGTTTATTATATCGTGTGTTTTTCTCAATGTTTTTCTCATTATTTATATGTATTTTTCTAATAAATTATTTATAAGTTTTATTATTTTTAATTTGTAAGTGTTTTTCTTCGCAAAAATAGTAATTATTTTTATTTTTTAATTAATATTTTTAGTAAATATTTAATTTTAGTATTAATTCGTCTATGTTTTTACAAAATATTGTTAATTATTAAAATTTATAAGTTTTTTAATCAACATATTATTGATTAATAAACTTAATTAAAACTCGTGTTTAAGTAAAAAGATATGTTTGAAAAAACATTGATATAAAAACATACTTTAGTTATAATGATAATTACAAACAGGTTATAAATCACATGATTTATTAAAATTATAACTAAAACAATAGACAAATAATAATTAAAATTAATTTATAACTAATTTAAATTATAAATAAAAGTCAATATAATTGTATTAATACATACGGTGTGTGTCCAACAAATCGCAACCTTAGTTGTAATTATAATTATGATAACTTAAAATTATAACTAAAACCACAAACTTTGAACTTTTAATTTAACATACAAAACATAAATAATTAAAACATAATTAAAACACATAAAATTAATTAACAATTAAAAGTACTTGTCTTCAGTAAACCAACAAAACGAGAAAACTCGTGGTAAAAATCACTACAATATTATATCAGACAAAAATTACAGTTTGTTTTTCACTAACAAAAACACAAAAACCATTGAAAAAACACATTAAAAACTCATTGAAACACACATTTCAGATGTGATAATGAATTGTAAAATTCAATTAAAGTATATTTCAATGTGTTATTGAATGGATGGCTAATGAATCACATTATACTACATGATAAGTATATCCATACGCATAAGTTATTGTATAGTTATTTGATCGAGATAAGTGGTTTGTTTTAAGCACTTTATCATTGTGTCTATGTGTGTACTTTTTATTATGGTAATTGTTGATAAGGGGGATAGGGTTATAGGGGCGGTAGGAGTGGTTTAACATGGTAACTAATAATAACTCAATAATACTCAATGTACTTTAGAATGTTTGTACATGTTATTTCATTTAATTGTGCCAATTTAGCTATATAAATATAAATTATCTGGCTATTTATTAAATGATTTGTTTATGTTGATAGGTCATCATGATGACATTGGACTCTATCAAAGGGTTGTGGGATTTTTTTTTTGGTTGATGTTGGTTATAAATATTGATTTTATACGCGATTGTATACTGTATGGTGCGAATGTACATGTGTATTTTAGTTATCAATAATTTATCATGTTGGTGATCTAATTTGTCATTGCATTTATTTGTTTGATATTCACTAACATGTGGTTATTGAGGGAAAATTATGGTGAAATACTGTACTTTATATACTGATTATAAGTTGATTACAATAATACTGATGGTAAATAAATAATAATGTTATAGTTGGTGATCAAGATTGTTTAAGAATTTTGTTTATTTATTTAAAATTTATTTTTTACATCGTTTTATTTAATTTATAATTAACAATTAATAATTCAATTAATTAATTACAACAACAACATACTTATTTATATAATTAATATACAAATAACTATTTTAACAATAAATTTATGATTTAATTGTTTTTTATTTACTATTATTTAAAAGTTTATAAATTTAGTTATTAAAACAATTAAAAAACAACTTGTTTATTATTTGCTTATATAGTATCCTTCATTATATTATTAATCTATTGTAAATACATTGAAATTATTGTTTAATAAAAACATATATTAAAACAATGCAAATAAAATCATTATATAATCAATAGGAAAATTTTTACAAAACTTTGAAAAAGGTAAATATTATTATTTAAATAAATTACTGAGTAATTGTTTTGTTTTTATTGTAACTATTTTACCAATATTTGTATTAAGAAGGTCTACAAAAAATTATATAAAATAAAAATCAAGAATATTCTTGAATATTAACCCTATTTACAAATAATAAACACTTAACTACTAAATAATATACAAATAGCTCCCGATATAAACAATACTAATTATACGGTATAATTTATACCTTCATAAAAAGCTAAACACATCATTAATAATCATTATTATCCCCTCTAATTAACAACCATGTATATTTAAGTATAAACTAAAAATTTAAACAACATATTGTTGAAAAAATACATACATAATAACAAAGTGTAAGTGTATAATCAAAAGTACCAAGCTAGTTTTTAAAAAGTGTTTTAAAATTATGTTTGGATGCATTGCTCATATGTTTATCATATTTATTGACTCGCGACTTATTATACGAGCGAAAATAAAAATTAAGAAATAGTGCCAGGAATATGGGGGGCTGACTGCCACCCAGCCATAGGTACACCGGCCGATAACCACGGTAAAATGGCAATGTCAACGAACAATATACCAACAGTATGATGAACTGGATTAGCTGTTTAAATATATAAATAATATAATGGTTGATTAGTAAAATTGTTTAGTAAGTTTTTAAAATATGTTTTAATATGTTAAAATTGTACTGGGACTATTAAACTCAATGCATACAGTTTAGTAACATAAAAAGTTATTTTCATAATGTAATATTACTTAAATTAACTAGTTAGTGTTTACTAATTAATTATCTAAACCCATAAATTAAATTAAATGTACTAAGTTATTATACGGTGTGTGTACATCCCAAAATTGTAACCAACCTGAATCTGTGTGATATATCGTTTCCACCACAAATATTTTTGTACAGTCGGTCCAAACGCCGCCAACGCGTAGTACGAGTACATAATCACGTGAACAGTAGTGTTGAGCGTACAAAATAGTAGGATCGCCGGTACCAGTGGTTCCACTTTGACCACAATCCAGCCCAACACCGGTACAGAAAAGTGGTGGTACAAATGTAGCACAGTTATCTAGGTGAGTTTTATAATTATTTAGTTCATATTGTTAATGTGTTTGTTAACATCTTTAATAATTATTGTTTGTTGTATTTTATGCTCATTTAATTACACGTATTGTATTGATATGATTGGTAATTGAAATGTTATATTAATGGTTATTTTAATTGTGGTATAAACTGTAATTAAATTAATTTGTCCGTGGTGGTAAATATTATCTAATGTAAAAATATTTATAATGGAATGAACCATCCCCCGAAGTGATTTATAAAACAAACTATGTTAAATAATGGACTAGTTGATCTATATTTTTTTAATGATTATTGTGTACTTTTCAATATTTAATTGTCTATAAAAGTTTTGTAAGACACATTAACATTTTTATAAGGATAAATATGTTAAATAATTACAAAGTATGCTAATGTAACTTTTGAATATACCTTACCAATAATGTTTACTTAAAATTCTGATAGGTTTTGAACTTGACTTTCATTTTTTATCCGTTAGAGATAAGTTATAATTTGTTTAAATACATGTTAGATGTGCTAGTTTAGTTTAGAAATGTTGGAAAATTATTAGATATGTTACAATATTGACAGTTATGTTAATGATTGAGAGAGAGAGAGAGAGAGAGAGAGAGAGAGAGAGAGACTTTTGGGTTGTATCATTAGATAAAACTATATGATGGTAAAAGTATAAATTGTTTTTATAAAATTAATAATTTACCGGTTTGTATGAGTAATAAACAAGTTTGTAAATTGTCATTAAATACAAATTTTTATATCATAGTTTAAAATTTATCTAGTAAATTGATTTTCAATATTTGTTAACTCAAGTCCTTTTATTGAGTCATTAAATTTTAATTGACCAAAATTAATTATTTTTGTGCCGAGTAGCCCAATACAATATATAATTATATATTCATTTTTAAAAATATATTAATTATGATAAATTTACAGTTTAATTGACAATATTTTTTATATTGATTATGTCATTATCTATTAAATTATATTATTTTAAACTCTCTCTCTCTCTCTCTCTCTCTGCGTTTTCTTAAGTTTAATTGATTTTACATAAAATGTTATAATTAAATTAACTATTTAATTTTAACATGTCTCTTAAATTAATTTTAAATAAATAATATATTA